CTAGGATTACAGGCGTGAGCCACCGCGCCCGGCCTGTTGCTGTAGTTATTGAAGCTGGGAAGATTGGATGTCCCCTGGTGTTTTAGTTGCTCAAGGCATGAACTAGAACTTGTCCCCAATCTAAAAGCTGTGCAAATGAGAAACTCACCTTAGTGACTTTCCTTTTTCTGAGTGTCAAGTCCCCTCCAGTTTCCAGGCTGCTTGTTTACTTTGCAGTACCTTTAGGGAAATGTTTTCTATTTTTTCCAGAGTTCATAACTGTTATCTGTGGGAGGGCTGGAATTTGAATCCAAGCCCAGTTGACTCTATGCTGTTAATTACACCATACCGCCCCCTAGTGGCTTGAGGTGGAGAACTGGTTGATGGGGGAGTAAGGACAAATTCGTAAATCTCTGGGGGCTGCATGTTTTGAAAACTTTTTTTTTATCAAAACAATACTCACACACAGCAACAAATTGCTTGAACAGAACACTTTGTGGCCAGACATAGTGGCTCACGCCTGTAATCCCAACAGTTTGGGAGGCTGAGGTGAGAGGATTGCTTTAGCTCAGGAGTGTGATAGGAGCCTGGGCAATGTGGTGAGATCCTGTCTCTACAAAAATTAAGACAAATTAGCCCAGGACAGTGATGTGCACCTGTAGTCCCAGCTACTCAGAGGCTGAGGCAGGAAGAATGCTAGAGCCCAGAAGTTCAAGGCTGCAGTGAGGCTGCACTCTTCCCTAAAAAGAAGACAGCTTATGGTGGAAAACTGCCCAGCACCTTGTAACCTTTAGTGCCTCTCTATAGAATTTTTTTGCTTTTAAAAAATATTCTGCATATTTTATTTTATTATTTTATTTTTTTTGAGACAGAGTCTCGCTTTGTTGGCCAGGCTAGAGTGAGTGCCGTAGCATCAGCCTAGCTCACAGCAACCTCAATCTCCTGGCCTCAAGCGATCCTCCTGCCTCAGCCTCCCGAGTAGCTCGGACTACAGGCATGTGCCACAATGCCCGGCTAATTTTTATATATATTTTTAGTTGGTCAATTAATTTCTATTTTTAGTAGAGATGGGGTCTCGCTCAGGCTGATTTCGAACTCCTGACCTCGAGCAATCCGCCAGCCTTGGCCTCCCAGAGTGTTAGGATTACAAGCGTGAGGCACCACACTCGGCCTGCATATTTTATTTTTAAATATTGGCAACACACGAGATAAAAATTTCTAAACATACAAGATGCTATATACTAAAAACAATGTTGTTCACCTCCTCACAGGCAACTAATATTTCTTTCCAGGAGAACTTACACAGGTTTAAGCAAATTACGTACAAATTGTTTTTCTTCTTTTCAATGTTCTGTCACCTGGGCTAGAGTGCTGTGGCATCAGCCTAACTCACAGCAATCTCAAAGTGCTGGGCCCAAGTGATCCTACTGCCTCAGGCTCCCAAGTAGCTGGGACTACAGATGCATACCACCATGCCCAGCTAATTTTTTGTATTTTTAATTGTCCAGCTAATTTTTTCTATTTTTTAGTAGAGACAGGGTCTTGCTCTTGCTCAGGCTGGTCTCGAACTCTGACCTCCTGGGATCCTCCCACCTCAGCCTCCCAGTGCTAGGATTACATGCATGAGCCCCCATGTCTGGCCTTCTTGTTTCTCTTAACAATACATTTTTGGAGCATCAGAATCCTCAGATTTTTAAAATTTATTAATTTTTTCATCATAGCAATTAAGAGTACATTTTGAAGACCATTGTTAATTCAATCCACAAGAATATTTTCATTTCTTTTTTCTCTTTTTATGAGCAAGTAGTACTCCCCTGGATAATTGATTTAGCCAGTTCTCTAATGACTGACATTTAGCTTGTTTCTATCTTTTTTTCTTTTTCTGCTAAACAAGTATTCTTGTTTCTATTCTTTTCTCTTACAGCTGCAAAGGAGGCGCTAGCACTTCTGTAATTTTCTGCATGAATTTAAATGCAGACAAATTCCTAGAAGTGAAATTTATGAATTTGGTAGACTGCCAAAGTGCCAAGGACATCTCACTGTTGTTATTAATTTATGTAAATTTTTTAAAAAAATTTTGAGACAGAGTCTCACTCTGTTACCCAGATTACAGTGCCGTGGCATCAGCCTAGCTCACAGCAACCTCAAACTCCTGGGCTCAAATGATCCGCCTGCCTCAGCCTCCAAAGTAGCTGGGACTACAGGCATGCGCCACCATGCCCCGCTAATTTTTTCTATTTTTGGTAGAGATGGGATCTTGCTCTTGCTCAGACTGCTCTCAAATTCCTGACGTCAAGGGATCCTCCCACTTGCCCTCCCAAAGCACTAAGACTATAAGCATGAGCCACCTTGCCCAGTCACAATCTATTTGTTCACATGACATCTCTCCCCAGTTTTGCATTTTAGAATTTTAATTCATACACAGTAAAATCCACTCATTTTGAACAGTTCTGTGAACTTTGTTAAACTAGAGCTACTGTATCTACCACCGCAGTCAAGATCTGGAACTGGCCTGGGCACGAGGCTCAGGCCTGTAATCCTAGCACTCTCGAGGCTGAGGCGGGCGGATTGCTCGAGGTCAGGAGTTCGAAACCAGCCTGAGCAAGAGCGAGACCCCCGTCTCTATGATAAATAGAAAGAAATTAATTGGCTAACTAAAAATATATAATATAAAAATCAGCCGGGCATGGTGGCTCGTGCCTGTAGTCCCAGCTACTCTGGGAGGCTGAGGCTTGAGCCCAGGAGTTTGAGGTTGCTGTGAGCTAGGCTGACGCCACGGCACTCACTCTAGCCTGGGCAACAAAGCAAGACTCTGTCTCAAAAAAAAAATAAAAGATCCAGAACTGTTCCTTCACCCACCCCCACTCAGAGTCTGTTCCTTCTCATACCCTGGCAGGAAAGGATTTGTTCCTGGTTGGTCCCTATAGTTTTGCTTTTCCAGAATAAATCTTGTTTTTAAATGTTTACAAGCAATTGCAATTTTCTGGAAGTGCTGGAAGCCTCTGGAAGGGGGAGGCCTGAGCAGGGACCCACACCCGCCTGCGCTGCATCAGCCCCGCCAGCCCCGGGCTTGCTGGAAGCTTTAGTGTCTACAGAACCTCTGCTCGGAAAAGACAAGATTCGTGTCACTTCCCTTCCCGTCTCTATCCTTTGCTGTAGCTGAAGCTGTGGTTCTGCCCTTGCTTCCTCTTCTGAGTACCTTTGAAACCTTAAATGACAGGCTGAACCTATTTCTTAGGGGGAGGACCTTGCCTGACTGCCCCCCAAAAGGGGTGTGTCTTAGGGGCTGTGAGCAAAGGAGTGAGATTTAGGTTCTTTTGGGGGGAATAAAGGTGCCAGATTAGAAACCCTTCAAGTTTTTACCGGGGCAGAGTGGTCTATGCCACATATTAACAGGATTGGGGTTCTCAGGGGGCTGACACTGGAAGGACTCGGGTGGTCGGGAAAGAGGATGGGTGAGGAAGGAGGGCATGACCCGAAGCTCTCCAGGTAGAAAGGGACAGGCTGGAGCTTGCTAAGGCAGAGGGCCCAGTGAGGGGGATAACCAGAGGAAGGAAGGGACAGAAGATGGGGGGAAGCACAGGAATGAGAGGTCTCCAGAGGTAGCTGGCCCCTAGATGAACTTGGCTTCTGCCACTCCCTTGAGCAGGTCAGACTATGCACAAGTTGTGCCTTTGCAGACTCTGCGGCCTGTTCTGTGAAATGGGTACAGGCATCCCTCTTCCAGGGCTGCGGCGAGGGCTCCAGGGGGCTGTAGACTGACAGGCTCAGTTCAGGCCCAGGCCACAAGGGCTCCTTGAATGGCAGTGCCAACTGAGCCAGTCTCCAAGGGCTGGGGGCCCAGGAGTGGGGTGTGAGGGCTCTCAGGGACCGAGGAAAAGTTCTAGAAGTGCCTGTGGGAGCCAATGCCAGGTTTGTGGGGCTCTCTGGGGTACAAGGAGGACACAGCCCATCCTCTTACTAAAATCTTTCCCTGCAGCCCGATATATTTATTGGTCCTACACTGGCCACAGCTTGACCAAAGGTCAGGGACACTTCATGATCCACTGATCGAATCTTGGTGCTGTGAACCTCACCTGGGCATTAGATGAGAAGCCACATACGAAAACAGAAAGGCGCTGTTCACTAACAGTACGTACAACACTGCAGTCTCGCTGTGGCTGAAACCCCCTTGTGCTCCCACAAGGACCAGAAAGGACAGGACCTAGGTATCACTGTTCAGCCAGGCGCCAACATTAATTAAGTCTTTATTTTTTAAATCTTTGCCTGACTGTATGTTCTACACATACAGTTTTGCACACTGCCCAGGGACTGCGTTGGTGAATAAATGGTTATTAACACCACTTTAAGGGCCGCCCCCGTGTTCCCAGGCAAGGCTGGCCCCCCAGGCCCGGATCTGGGCTTGCAGGTCTGCCTGTCCCCAACCGGTCCCCCACTCCCTCCGCTCCTGACATCTGCGAAGCTCTCTGCTGCCGCCGGGCCTTTGCACTGTGGTTTCCTCTTCCTTCCACCCTGCGGCAGTCAAGTGTGGGGACCTGGGCACCTTGGCGCCCCCGCTCACAGAACTTTACTTCCTCTGTGAGTCTTGTCACACTTTACTCTGGAAGATGCGTTCCCGAACATCTCACGTGCTACCAACTATAACTCGGGGAATCCTAACACAGGACTTGAGGGGATTCTATTAATATTTAGCCTATTAACGTGGCGCCCTCACAGGGTCATGGCTCAGACTTGGACTTCTGGCCACTTTGGACCAATTTTAATGCTACCTGTTTGTCTTCAACGCTGATTTTGCTCTTAACGTGAAGCCACATTCAGTATTCTCCGCCCGCTTTTGCAAACTCCAGCCTGCGCGCCACCAGGGCACTGCTCTGCTGACTGCGCGCTGCGAATGAAGGCGCCACGTCCACGCGCTCCCAAGCCCATTTATTTGGTGCCCCGCACACTCAGGCCTGCATCACTGGCCGGGACTTCTCGGCCTGCAGCTTCACTCCAGAGCCCGCGAAGCCGGTGCCGCCCTGGAAGAGGTGGGAAGAAGGGCGACGTGGAGGCGGGCTGCGGTTCCAGGTGGCAGTGGGGTGGGGGTGGGGCGGGGCCGGTGTCCCATGCAGGTCAAGGCGGGTGCTGGCTAAGGAGGAGTAGGAGTTGGAGAGGAGGTGCAGCTGGGGGGGGCTATGGCTAAGGAGGGGGAGGGGAGTGTGGGAAGAGGGGTGGAGCCTTGGAGGTGGGGGGAGCAGCCCGCAGCTCACCCGCTGCAGAACAATGATGTCCCGATCTGTGAGCTTGTCGCCAGTCACTGGGTCCACCATGTCCTTCCGAATCAGCTTCTCCACACACTCGAGGGTGACCACGGCCCCACTGCCACGAAGGTGAGGGCAGGGACTCTGATCAGGGGCCATCCCTGGGAGCCACTCCCCCCAAGCCGAGCCCACCCCACAGGCCCCTAGTTGTCCCTTCACTCCCCTCCACAGGTGACTCACGAGGGCCGCAGAACAGCACAGGGCGTGGCGTTGCTCAGGCTGTCTCGGGTCACGGCGCACACGTAGCGCTCGCTGCGCGTGATGAGCCCAACGCGGTCCACGGAGCTGTCGAGCGGCGTGAAGCGCACGGGGGTCAGGTCTGACATGCGCAGTGGCTTCCCGGACATGGGGCAGGTCACAGTGCGGGACTGCTCCGAGAGGAGAGGGAGAGTCAGCAGGCCCGGCTGGTGGCAGGTGGAGGGAGGAGGGGGCCCTGGGAGGGAGGGCAGGGGACCCTCGGGGCACTGGGGCACCCTGGTCCCCCCTGGCAAAGTGCCCCCTGGGGGCTCACTGGTTTCTCCAGCTTGGTGGCCTTGGCCTCAGGAGTCAGTGAAGGGATCCAGAAGCTGGGCAGCACTTTGTCCTTGTCCTTGCTTGGGGGACCCGCGCTGGGCCCTGGCTGGGCATCGTCTGTGGGGGAGGAAGAAAGGGGCTCAAATGCTGCACCCTGGACAGCGCCCAGTGCCCCACACACGGCGACTCCACTCCCTGTCACCTGGGCCGGTCCCGGAGGCGGCCTTGGCCGTGAAGGGGTTGAGGGGCCGGCTGACGATGGCCGCCTCCTTCTCCAGGAAGCCGCGCACGTGGTCCTGCGCCGCCGCCCGCTGCAGCTCCTTCTGCTCCTCGCGCCGGGCGCCCCGCTGCTTCTCGTAGGCCTGTGGAAGGGGACAAGCGGAATCTGGGGCTGGCATCTGCACTGCCTGGGGGCTGGGGGGTAAACTGAGGCCCACACAAGGCATTGCTGACGGAGCACTATTTGGCAGAGGCTGGAGACTGCCTGGCCAGGACCTTTCACTGGGTTCACAGTATTCTGTGGCTTGTCCCCTCCCTACTACACAACACTTAGGTCATTTCCCTGAGCCAGTTCGGGACTCTGTGTCTTCTGCATTCCTTGGCAGCAGAGTGGTCAATAGTTTAGGTGGAGCCAGAACGCCAGGGCCCAGACCCCATCTGTGTCACCTCAGTGGCCTGCAGTGAGCACTGTGACCTCTCGCAGCCTCAGTTTTCTCATCTGTAAAGTGAACTAACAATGATGACCCTACTGTGGTGGTTCCCTGGAAGGGTTACACAAGGTGATTTTTTTTTTTTTGAGATAGAGTCTCACTCTGTTGCCCGGGCTAGAGTGCGGTGGCGTCAGCCTAGCTCACAGCAACCTCAAACTCCTGGGCTCAAGCAATCCTCCTGCCTCAGCCTCTCAAGAAGCTGGGACTGCAGGCATGCGCCACCATGCTCAGCTCATTTTTTTTAAATATATATTTTTAGTTGGCCAATTAATTTCTATTTTTTTAGTAGAGATGGGGTCTCTCTCTTGCTTAGGCTGGTTTCAAACTCCTGACATTGAGCAATCCTCCTGCCTTGGCCTCCCGGAGTGCTAGGATTACAGGCATGAGCCACCACACCTGGCTGTTTCTTTTTATTTATAGTAGAGACGGGGTCTCACTCTTGCTCAGGCTTGTCTCAAACTCCTGAGCTCAAGCAATCCTCCAGCCTCGGCCTCTCAGAGTGCTAGGATTACAGGCATGAGCCACCGCGCCCGGCCCCAAGGTGAGTTTTAAAAGCACTTAGAACCTTGCCTGGCACATAGTGAAGAGTTCACTGAATGTCACCTGTTGGCCATATTATGTTTATTACATAGCGCATGTGCCAGACCGTGTCCTGGCACAGGGGACGCAGGCTTGAGACCTGGGAATAAGGCAGAGCCAATGTTCACGGAGCAGCGTGCTGTGCCGGGCAGGGCGTATGGCAAGAGGGTGAAGGTGTGTCGTGCTTGGCCCTGCCGGGCACAGTGCAGGTGCCTGGGCAGCGCTGCAGCTCGAGACTGCCCCGGGCCACCCAGCTGAGTGAGGAGCTAACAATGACCGATGCCTAGGAGGGCCTCCAACATGGCCTCGGTGATGAGGGAGCGACTGGCCAGCCACCTGGCTGTGCAGAGGACACAGGCACAGGGAGAGCCACTCACTCAAAACAAAAAGCGCAACAAGCATGTAACCCTCAGTGTTTCCTTAGCTCCAGTAAGCCAGACGGGGAAGGGAAGGGAACAGGCCCACTGTGCCTCAAACGTGGAGATAAACAATGTCCCTCCTATGCACCAAATGGGCTCACCCATGGAAGGCCAGACCTGGCTCTAAGTAAACGCCTCAAGAATTCTGTACACATCTCCTAGGTGCCCCATGGTATCCTATAATTTGGCCTTGTCAGCCCATTTTACAGATGATGAAACTGAGGCCCAGAGAGGTGAGGTGATGTCCATTCATTCAGCAAGTCTTTACCAAGGATCTAGGCCACGGTGTGGGCAAGGCCTGCTCCCAGCCCTGGGTCCTGCAGTCTAGTGGGGGAAGTGGGTACGTGTCAGACAGCCGCATGTAGAGTTACAACTGTGACAAGTGCGGAGAAAAGAGGTGAGTAGGTCAGACCCTGGACTAACAGGAGGTCAGAGGAGGCAGCGCCTCAGCTAAAATCTGGAGAGTAAGAAGGACGTAGCCAGGAAAAGTGGGAGGGCAGCACTGGCAAAGGCTGGACTGGGGGGCCCAGAGTGGCTCTGCACGTGAGCTCAGAACCCAAACCTCCCGCCCACTCGCTCCCCTTCTTCCCATCCCTTCACCTTCAACTGCCGGGCAATCTCCTTCTTCTGGTGCAGAATGTACTCGAGGATCGCCTCGCGCTCGTACAGGTAGCCATCCGGGCTGCAGAGAGAGGACGGAATGAGAAAGACACGGACCTGGCCCAGGCCACACAGCTGGGCCTTCATCATCACATGCCACACATCGACTCCCTGTCCTGGGCGCCCACTGAGCGTCTCACGGGCAGCATCTTACTCGATGCTCAGCTCTCCGAGGTGAATTCTTGAGCCAGGACCACACTGTTTTCAATCTCGTGGCTGGGAAGGATGCTGTGTTGAGTAGGGAAGGCCTTGTACAGTAAGGGGTTAACTCAGCAGGCCTGGGTTGTCCAAACCCTGCACATTCCAAAGAAAGGATTGGCTCCTGGGAGACAATTTCTAAGCCCCTGGAATGTCCTGTCTGATAACAGTATCTTTGTTTACCTGGGGCCTGGGGCTACCAGGTAAACACTATGGTAACACTTGACCTCTGAGGGGCTGGAGACTACGGTCAGCCACGTGAACAGTCAGCCATGTCTATGTGACCAACCCCAGTAAAAACTGTGGGCACCAAGGCTCCTGGTTGGCAATGCTCTGTCTATGCTGTCACACATTGCTGGGAGAATTGGGCACTGTCCATGTGACTCTACTGAGACAGGACAGCTGGAAGTTCATACTTGGTCTCTACTGGACTCTGTCCCATGCACCTTTCTCCTTTGCTGATTTTAACTATGAGTACAACAGCCTTGGTGAATTGTACAAGTTCTTCTAGGAAATAATGAGCCTGAAGTTGGCCTTGGGGACCCTGAACAACAGTCTACTCTCATTACTATCTCTATAAAACATACCATTATGCCTGGACACCTCTTTACAAAAATAAACAAACAAAAAAACAAACCATTAGTTGAGGGCATGGTAGTCATTAGATTAAGCACTTCTGAGCTTTACCATCAGAGGCAGGTAATGGTAAGTGTTCCACAACATGAGCTGTTAGGAGGGTCCAGGCAATGTTCTAAGAGCCCTTTGCCCTATTACAAATATTTTCTTTTGCTCCCACTGTGAAACAGATGCTAGGATCATGCCCACGTCTCAGATGAAAACACTGAGGCTCTGAGAGATTAAATTGCCTCCCCAGGGCACCTTGGACGTGCAAGTCGCCAGATCCATGCATGCAGCCCCTCTCTGTGTGGTGCACTTGCCCTTCCTGTCCTGCCCCTCCCTGCCCTGTTCTCTGCTCACGTGACAACAGGATCGTGGCAGGGCTGCAGCGACAGGCAACAGCAGTCAAAGTCCTTCACAGCATCCCGGCTCAGTCGGATGTTCTGGGTCCCATAGCCTGAGGCCGCTAGGGACAGAGAAGGGGAGAGTGATGGATGGGTAAAGAGATAGGAGATACGTCCCTCTCCAAAGCCCAAGAGAGAGGCACAGAGAGAACTCAGGGGTGGGGTGGGAAGACTCGGAGAGAAACAGGCAGTTAAGAGCTGTGTGTGTTGGCTGGGCGCGGTGGCTCACGCCTGTAATCCCAGCACTCTGGGAGGCCGAGGCAGGAGGATCATTTGAGCTCAGGAGTTCGAGACCAGCCTGAGCAAGAGCGAGACCCCGTCTCTACTAAAAATAGAAAGAAATTAATGGGCTAATATAAAAATATATAGAAAAAAATTAGCCGGGCATGGTGGCACATGCCTGTAGTCCCAGCTAAGGGGATTTGATCGGGAGGCTGAGACAGGAGGATCGCTTGAACCTAGGAGTTTGAGGTAGCTGTGAGCAAGGCTGACGCCACGGCACTCTAGCCCGGGCAGCAGAGCGACACTCTGTCTCAAAAAAAAAAAAAAAAGCTGTGTGTCTCCATATTGGGGACAGGGGCTTCACAACCCGCAAGAAGCGTTAATCCCCAGAGAGTAAGTGACAGACAGGCCATGTCACTGAGTGGCAGCTCTGAGAAGAGGCTGAGAGCTGACTCCCCTTGACCCTTTGGCTGTGACCAACCTCAAGGGCCTGTACCTCTTTGGGCCTCAGTTTCTTCTGAAACATGGCAGCTGAGAGGAGTAAATGAGTTACTCATTTACAGAAGGCACACGACACAGTGCCCCACACATGGGGGTGCTGGAGCATGTGGGCTGTTAACTACACGGTTGTATAGTTAACAAGTGTGTGCGTGGGCTGGCGGGGGTGGAGTGGGGTGAGGGGTGGGGGACAGGAACACACAGAAACCAAAACCAGAGGTGCAAAGTGAGGAGATGGTGAGTTCGAGACACATTCGATCCCTGTACCTGTGTCCTTCTTCTTCTCATGGTAGGTGTAGACGGCTCCTGCAGTGCAGTTCTTGCCGTGCCGTGTCATCCTGGGGGCGCAAGGGACAGTTGCAGGGCTGTAGTGACCAGAGGCAGCTGGCCTAGGGAAGACCTTTATGGCCCTCAGAGCTGATCTGCTCCCCTCAATGGGAAAGCTGAGAGGGTGTGAGGAAGCGGGCACACACCATGTGTCTTCCAGCCAGAAAATCCCCTTTCAAGACTTACCTGAACGCATTTATATACTAAAACGCAACCTTTAAGAACAAAATAATTGGCCAGGCGTGGTGGCTCACCCCTGTAATCCTAGCACTCTGGGAGGCCGAGGCGGGAGGACCACTTGAGGTCAGGAGTTCGAAACCAGCCTGAGCAAGAGTGAGACCCCGTCTCTACTACAAATAGAAAGAAATTAATTGGCCAACTAAAAATATACAGAAAAAATTAGCCGGGCGTGGTGGCGCATGCCTGTAGTCCCAGCTACTCAGGAGGTTGAAGCAGGAGGATCGCTTGAGCCCAGGAGATTGAGGTTGCTGTGAGCTAGGCTGATGCCACGGCACTCTAGCCTGGGCAACAGAGTGAGACTCTTGTCTTAAAAAAATAAAATAAAAACAAAACACTTTTTATTCTGGAAGTTTTCAAACACACACAAAGTAAACACAAAAGTATAAAGAACATCCATGTACCCATCCCCTGGGTCCAACAACTGGCAACATTTTGCCATCCTACTTTGATACTTTGATCATCACTGCAATCTCCCCTTTTAAAGTGGCTTTAGAGAGATATAATTCACATATCATAAAATTCATCCTTTTAAAGTATACAGTGCAGTGAGTGGTTTTAGTATATTTAGAGTTGTGCAACCATCACTCCTATCTAATTCCAGAACATTTTGATTGCCTCCAAAAGAAACTCAGGACTTATCAGCAGTCGCTTCCCCGAGCCGCCACCCCAGGGGAACCACTAATCGACTTTCTGTCTCTACAGACTTGCCTCTTCTGGACATATAAATTGAATCGTATAGGCCGGCTGTGGTGGCTCACGCCTGTAATCCTAGCACTCTGGGAGGCTGAGCCGCACGGATTGCTGGAGGTCAGGAGTTTGAAACCAGCCTAAGCAAGACCCTGTCTCTACTAAAAATAGAAAGAAGTTAATTTACCAACTAAAATATATATATACAAAAAATTAGCTGGCCATGGTGGCACATGCCTGTAGTCCCAGCTACTCAGGAGGTTGAAGCAGGAGGATCGCTTGAGCCCAGGAGATTGAGGTTGCTGTGAGCTAGGCTGACGCCACGGCACTCACTCTAGCCTAGGCAACAAAGTGAGACTCTGCCTCAAAAAAAATAAATAAATTGAATCGTATATTTGTCCTTGTACATCTGGTTTATTTCACTTAGTATGTTTTCAAGTTTAACCCACTTTTGTCACGTGCATGAGTACTTTACTCCTTATGTCTAGATAACATTTCATCATATAGATATACCACACTTTATTCAACCACTCTACAGCTGCATTTGGGTTGTTTCAACATTTTGGCTAATATGAATAGTGCTGCTAGCACTATTCAGTGTTTTTGTCTGAACACTCATTTTCAATTCTTTTGGGTATATATGTACAAGTGGAACTGCTGGGTCAAACTGAGAAATTGCCAAACTGTTTTCCACAGCATTTTATAACCCTTCTATATCCCACTAGCAATGCTTGAGGATTCCAACTTCTTCACATCCTCAACAACGCTTGTGACTGTCTTCTGTATTCTGACCAGCCTAATTAATTCAAACTGGTATCTTATTGTGGTTTTGATATGCATTTCCCGAATGACTAATGATGGGATTACAGGGTGTGCCACCACACCGGCTAAGCTTTCTATTTTTTGTAGAGACAGCATTGCCTCTCCAGGTTGCCTAGACTGGTCTCAAACTCCTGGCCCTAGCTTCCCAAAGTGCTAGGATTACAGGTGTGAGCCACTGAGCCCGGCTTCTTTTTAGTTTCTTGATGGTGTCCCTTGACATGCACAAGTTTTTAACTCAATGAAGTCTAATTTACCTGATGTTTTCTTTTATTGATTATGCTTTTGGTAGTGTATCTAAGACATTCTTAGGCTGGGTGAGGTGGCTCACGCCTGTAATCCTAGCACTCTGGAAGGTCAAGGCGGGCTGCTCAAGGTCAGGAGTTCATAACCAGCCTGAGCAAGGGCGAGACCCATCTCTACTATAAATAGAAAGAAATTAATTGGCCAACTAATATATATAGAAAAAATTAGCCGGGCATGGTGGCACATGCCTGTAGTCCCAGCTACTCGGGAGGCTGAGGCAGCAGGATTGCTTGAGCCCAGGAGTTGGAGGTTGCTGTGAGCTAGGCTGACGCTACGGCACTCACTCTAGCCTGGGCAACAAAGTGAGACTCTGTCTCAAAAAAAAAAAAAGAGAGAGACATTCTTAGACCAAATTTATGCAGATTTACTCCTAGGTTTTCTTCTAGGAGTTTTATAATTCAGATTTTACATTTATAGTTAATTTTTGTGTATGGTATGAGGTAGGGAGCCCCTCCCCCCTTTTTTGTATTTTTACTTCTTTTTTAGCTGCTGGAATGGGAAGGAGCCCATTTTTAAGTGCAGAAATCCTCAGATCCATGGAGGCTGGGCAGTCTTCACCAGGGCTCCTTGGCCAGTAAGTAGCTGGGGGGTCTTGGGGGGGCGCGAAGTCCAGGCCAGCTTGGCCACCTGCATGCTTTTTTGTACCTTAAAAGGATTTAGTAAAATTAAACACTTGCCTCACTCATCTCTATACTGCCATCTAAAAATTCTCTTAAGCTTAAATAGTTGCAAAGGATACAAGTTCCAGCAATGTAAACCTGTAGCTGGTGGAATCTAAATACTGTAATGATTTGATACCTACCATCATCCATTTAAAAACTGTAAGAAAAAGCTCTGCTTCAACAGCAGGAAATTTTACATGTCCTGTTTTTCTCTTTGAACTTATATTTCCGTTCCAGTTCCCTCCCTGTCACTCATTTAACCTCATGTCTTTTATGCTCAAAAATATTTTAGCAATCATCCTGTATTATTTCTCTACAAGAAAACAATATGGATAGGGGCCAGACACAGTAGCTCACACCTGTAATACGAGGACTCTGGGAGGCCAAGGCAGGAGGATCCTTGAGGTCAGGAGTTTGAGACCAGCCTGAGCAAGAGCGAGACCCTGTCTCTCCCATAGACAGAAAAAAATTGGGCAGGTATGGTGGTACGCACCTGTATTCCTAGCTACTCAGGAGGCTGAGGCAGGAGAATCTCTTGAGCCCAGGAGTTTGAGGTAGCAGTGAGCTACAATCATGCCACTGCACTCTAGCCAGGGTGACACAGTGAGACCCTGACTCAGAAAAAAAATTCATTTTTAAATTTCCCATGATTCCTAGGCCCCAAGAGTCAAAATATTCTTCTAGATCAGTGGTTCTCAAAGTGTGGTCCTAGGCCTCTGTGGTCCCCTAAAACATTTCTAGAGAGTCCATAAGGCCAAAACTCTTATAACACTAAGGCATTATTTGCCCTTTTCAGTCACATTCTCTTACAAGCATACAGTGGAGTTTTCCAGAGGCTGCGTGAGGTGTGATATTACAGCACTAAGTTTGTGGTAATTTGTTATAGCAGCAATAGGTTAGTAATACAGTTACCAGGGAAATGCAAATTAAAACTTCACTGAGATCCCTCTACACACCCACTGGAAGGGTTACAATTAGACAGATGGGTGCAGGTGAGCACGTGGAGCTACTAGAACCCTCATCCACTGCTGGGGGGTGGGTGCAGGCTGGTATAACCACTTTGGAAACCAACTGTTACTATCTACGAAAGTCTGGAATATGCCAACCCTATGAGCCAGCAATTCCTCTCCCACGTTTATACCTAACAGAAGGGTGAACCTCTGCTTAACACAAGACACATATTACAGTGTTTAGAGCTGCCCTGTTCATAATAGCTCATAAACTGGAAACTACCCAAATGCCCATCAACGTGGAACAGATAAAAAAACCGGGGCATAGTCACATAATGGCAACAGCCAGCAATGAGAAAGAACAAGCTATTGTCACACCAGCAGCATGGCTGAATCTCACAAACACCACGTGCGTGAGAGACTCCAGATACAAAAGAAACTTTACCAAGTGATTCCATTTATATGAAGTTCAAAAACTCACAAAAGTAATCATGGCATCACAAGTTAGGTTCCTTGGGGGAGTGGAAGTGACTGTGAGGGGGTAAGGTCTCTGGGAGGCTGGGAAAGTTCTGTTTCTTGATCTGAGTGCTAGTTACAAGGGTGTGTTCACTCTGAAAAGCCACTGGGCCTGACAGTTTGCTTTCTGTACTTCCATGTACATGTCAGAAAAAGAAATTAACGGTGGAGGAAACCCCCACTTTATCCAGGCAATCACTCCCCCTCAGCCCATCATGCATGTCCTCAGTCTGGATGTGGCTGTTGCAGACTTGTCCCCCGCATGGATGTATCCTCTTTGAGTTAACACCTGCGGACAGATATCTGTATCCATATGACAGAGCTGCAACAAACAGCTCTGTATGCCATGTACTTTGGCACGTGCATGAGGGTATCTGGGGGATAAATCCTTAAAAGTGGAATCACTGGTTTGAAAGACATTTTCATTTAAAATTTGGTTAGGGCCTGTAATCCTAGCACTCTGGGAAGCCGAGGTGGGAAGATCACTTGAGGTCAGGAGTTCGAGACCAGCCCGAGCAAGAGCAAGACCCCCGTCTCTACTAAAAATAGAAAGAAATTAATTGGCCAACTAATATATATAGAAAAAATTAGCTGGGCATGGTGGCACATGCCTGTAGTCCCAGCTACTCAGGAGGTTGATGCAGAAGGATTGCTTGAGCCCAGGAGTTTGAGGTTGCTGTGAGCTAGGCTGACGCCACAGCACTCACTCTAGCCGGGGCAACAAAGTGAGACTCTGTCTCAAAAAAAAAAAAAAAATTTGGTTAGGATTGTAGGCGTGAGCCACAGCCCGGCCTTGGTTAGAATTTGCAGTTGTCCAAATAGACTGTACAG